TGCTGCTTCGCCCGTGTGGAGCCTGCCCACAAGTCCAAGATTGTTGAGTACCTGCAGGGATTTGATGATATTACTGCCATGGTAAGAGCTTTGACACAACCTAAACATAGTAAAGAGGCAAAGATTGCATGTTTTGCCGTTTCTCAGCAGAAACTTGTCTGAAAGCGGTGGCTGCTTTGACAAAGTACAACTGTCTTCCCTTGCTCCAGACTGGTGATGGTGTGAACGATGCCCCCGCCCTGAAAAAGGCCGAGATCGGCATCGCCATGGGCTCTGGCACTGCCGTTGCCAAGTCTGCCTCTGAGATGGTCCTGGCTGACGACAACTTCTCTTCCATTGTGGCTGCTGTTGAGGAGGGCAGAGCTATCTACAACAACATGAAGCAGTTCATCCGCTACCTCATCTCTTCCAACGTCGGTGAGGTCGTCTGGTGAGTTTGACCCTTTGGGACATTGCCTCTGATCTTCCTATATGAGGAGCTGACGTCTTCTCATGTCTTTGTTTTCTTTTCGTGCCACTACAGTATCTTCCTGACTGCTGCTCTGGGTCTGCCAGAGGCTCTGATCCCTGTCCAGCTGCTCTGGGTCAACCTGGTCACTGATGGTCTGCCTGCTACCGCTCTGGGCTTCAACCCCCCTGATCTGGACATCATGGGCAAGCCTCCACGTTCCCCCAAGGAGCCCCTGATCTCTGGCTGGTTGTTCTTCAGATACATGGCTATTGGAGGTAAGTAGGACTGTAGGCGCTTTTATAGGTTTGGCTTATATGTAGAAACATCTGCAGAAACTGACAGTCTTTTCCATTTATAACAGGATATGTCGGTGCTGCCACTGTTGGTGGTGCTGCCTGGTGGTTCCTCTATGATCACACTGGTCCTGGTGTCAGCTACTACCAGCTGGTACATTACTCTTAACTCTTTTCCATCCACCTTCCACGAACTAACAATGGAATAATGTTCGCATGTTCTCTGTGCAGTCCCACTTCATGCAGTGCCACGATGAGAACGAGGACTTCGCCGGCATCGATTGTGAGATCTTTGAGGCATCTCCTCCCATGACCATGGCTCTGTCTGTGCTGGTCACCATCGAGATGTGCAACGCCCTCAACAGGTACGAATAGGAACACTTCTGCTCCTGTTGTTTATACTGCTGCAGTACCATCAGATAACCAAGGTGCTCTTTTGTTTTGGGAAGCTTGTCTGAGAACCAGTCTCTGCTGCGTATGCCCCCATGGAGCAACTTCTGGCTGATCTCTGCCATGACCCTGTCCATGTCCCTGCACTTCATGATCATCTATGTCGACCCTCTGCCCGTAAGTCAGAGATCTTTACTCTGATCCACAGCTCAGTTCAGAAGCTGTGTGTCATAAACAGCTCTGACCTCTACCTCCTCCCACCCACCACAGATGATCTTCAAGTTGACCCATCTGACTACAGAGCAGTGGATGATGGTCCTGAAACTATCCTTACCCGTCATCGCTATTGATGAGGTGTTGAAGTTCGTTGCCCGCAACTACGTCGAGAGTAAGTAGTTTAACATTTTTGCTCTTTTGTAAAAAGGATAAAAAAAATCATAATTCATTAATACTCTCATCTTTTAAAGTAATCATACATTTTAATAATATTTTAACAAATTTAATCGTTATCTTAATTTTGTTTCCTGACTTCATGACTTTGTGCCAATCCATTATTAATTTCATTGTTTTTTCTTCATCTGCCTGATCTTCTCTCCACCAATAACTCACTGACCCTTTTTGTTCATTTCCAGAATAAATTGCTTCAACATACCATCATTAACCTGTAACTAAACAAGGTATTCTCCAACTCAAGCTGTACTGGTGGTCTAAACTGTGTGCTTTGTGCTGTTTTTCCCAGTTTCTGTTAGATACCCGTTGTTAGATGTATGCAGATGAACAGTTCTGGTTTCTCCCTGCAGCTTAAAAGCACTTTTTAGAGAAAAAACTGTAATTAAATAACACAATGACTTCCCTGTAGGGAGAACCCTGAACATTGCTATTTATTGTTATTGTTGTTTGAAACGTCATTAAGGTGAGTCCATCATCTGACTTTGTGTCACAACGTGTGTGTTTGGTTTTCTGTTTGTGGCAGCAGCTTAAAACAGCTAGTTTAGAGGGTTTACACCATTAAATTGAGGTAAATAATTTACATTTATACTGTTTAAAATCCATTTTATAAACAATTTTCAGTAACTTTCTGCATGTTTATGTACAGTTTTTAAATGGATTTTAATATAGAAAAACCCTAACCATAATTATTTTAAGTTTTTTGCAACATTTCAATATCAGTTTGTGCAAAAATCAGTATGGCTGATGACTTTAGACTGCAATTAATCACATGTTCTTAAATTTCATGTGCAATGCATTCATGCTCTGCATCCCAAATACGTATTTCGGCCAGTCAGACAGGACCTGCCTGAGATGATAGTGGGCAGGTAGAGTCGTCGTGACAGGAGTGAATAAGAATAGAGAGGACACCCCGAATAATATCATAATATGGTAATAGTTGTGAACCAATCTTTTTAAAGTGTTCTTGGTTTACTATGGACATTTTGTGACTTTAAATACATTTTTACTAGAATTAAAGGTCAACTTCACTGAAACACCGTTTTAAATCATTCTGTGTTTTTCATGCCGGCTGAACATGAAAATATTCTCCTACCATCTCCACAAATAAAACAAGCCTGAAGGAGTTCTTCTGTGAGGCGGAGTTGCTAATGCTAACGGTTAGTTTCTACTAGCAGTTTCCTGGAAGCTAAACCAACAGCAGCTTTCCCTGTTGTGAGTCAAGGTTGTAAAAACAGTTTACCAGTGAACCACACTTTGAAACAAAAATCACAATATAAAATAATGGTGAGGCGCTTAAAAGGTGTCGTTGACTGAAAAACCATTTTCCACACCTTTAACGCCGGGGACACACCAGCCGCCGAAGCGCAAGGAGGCGAAGCGCTCACGAAATTCGGCCGCTGCTCACTGCTCCTCAGTTCAGACCAGTCACTTGTTTCTCCGCTCCGGTCGAGGCGCGCCTCATAGTTTTTCTTTTAACCACTTGGTGTCCTCCATTTCCTCTCTGCCTTTTCTCTGCTCTTTTTCTCTACACCCCCCTCCCCCTTGCTGTTTGTGTGTGTTTGTCCGCGTGTGTGTGAACCTATGGTGTGAACCAGTTTTTAATAGCTGGCCTACAACTTTCTGCCTTGGTTGAAAGACACCCAAAACTACACCCCCTTCACGTGGTCACACACACAGACGTTCGCAGTGTGTGTGTGTGTGTGTGTGTGTGTGTGTGTGTGTGTTCGTGTGGTTTTTATGCAGTATCTGTTTACGAACACATTTGACTATTGTGGAATTGTATTTTGAAATGCTTTATTTTGTTAAATTTACCAGCCTGCCTCTTATGTCTTGGTTTGACTTCCTGCCAGAATTGATGCGGTTCACCCGCAGCTCGAGAAAAAAATAGAGCAGACTCCGAAACGATCGCTGCACGGCGCGGGCTGGAGCGCCGGCGCGCGCTTTGGCAGCCCATGTGGTCTATAGAATAGGATAACGAGGGCGCCGAATGAAGGCGGTCCCCGTTTCGCGGTGCTTCGGCGGCCGGTGTGTCCCCGGCGTAAGGGTGTGAAACTCTAAAAAAACAACAATTTAATTATTATTTCTGATTATAATCAGTCACTCTGAGTTTTTCATGCAGACTGAACATGAAAATAGTCTCCTACACCTATCTCCTGCATTAACTTGTGATAGAAACTAGATGGTCAAATTCTAGGATTTGAAAATTCTCACAGATATACGTCACGCTTAACATTCATGGACTCACCCATCTTGACTCACGACTGAGAAGACTGTTTTTGGTTTAGTGTCCAGAATCAGCATAGAACGTCTCTTTCAACAGAAGCTAACTGCTAGCATTAGCAACTCAAACACACAGCTGAAGCTCCTCTAGGCTTGTGTTATTTGTGGAGATAAAACATCCATGTGGCAGAGCAAACAAAGTTAGTTGTAGAGTTGCATTGCTTTTGTCCAGTCTGAGGCAAGACGTCTAACTATCAGGAAATAAGACTCCAAATCCTCTCGTTTGAAGCCCTGATGTTTGGCCAGGGTTTTGTGGGCTTTTTACGCCCTGAGTTCTGCCTGCCAGGCATTCATTCCTACTAGAGACCACTGCATTGATTAACCCCTTAAATTAAGTATACTTATAAGTTTGGGTCTCAGGAGGTTAAACATTTTTTCAAAATTTTCAGTTGATTGTTTCAATTTAGTTTTTTTTTTAATCTTTTGCAAATAGTTTTTGTTTGTTGTCCAAAAACTATTTAAATTTTTTTTCTTTGTCTCAGTTTCCATCATTTTTAAAACCAGCAGTTTCTGACTGATGTGTTTTCTCCTCACTAGGTACAGAAGTTAAAATATAGAGATGTAGAAGAGGCGGATCTGAAGGGTTGAAGAGAAAGAGGCGAGAAGAGGAAGAGAGAGATAACAACCAACAGGTGGAACCATAGTGAGCCAACCAATAGAGGAGAGAGAAGAAAAACACTGGAAAATATTTTAAAAAATACAATAAAACTTATTTAAAATCTACAGAAAAAAGCCTCTTAATAAAGAAGGAGACTGAATTGGATTAAAGGGGAGAATCCCTGCTGATGAAGTTTTAAACTATTTCAGATTTTATTCTAAGACAAAGTATGTATTTAAGGTAATTTTTTGTTAATCTTGGATATTCTCAGCTGTTGTGTTTTTGTGTCCTCTGTCCATTTTCCTATGATCGACTTTCCAGCTCATCACTTTGACTCTAGTCTTTGTTGCTCGTGTCTCGTGCAGCCTCCCTGCTTTAGCTAGGCTCAGGACGGTGTGGTGTAGGGTGGCTAAACCACTTCTTACGGGCAGAAAAAGAAATGTTTAACAAACCAAATGGCTCCAGCTGCCAGCGCTCTCTCCAGGCACCACACAGTCAGCAGACTCTGATGGAGGTCTCATAAAATGGGCATGTCCACTCAGTCACAACACTTCTGGTCTTATTTATTGTTTACGTGATAAGCTCTACAATAAAGTGATGGATAAAAACTCTTTTTCTTCTATTGTGAAGCTCATTTGTATTTGTTTTTATAATGCAGTGCAGTGATTACAACATTCAGAGTTAAGACATAAAATGTGATTGTAAAAAAACAACATTTTTTTTGGTTGTTTTAGCTTGTGCCTGATTTTACTGACTGTCTTAGTGCTGCGAGGTGTCAGTTCATCAGCCCTTTTGGTGTGTAGAGAGAACTTTCACAAGAAAAAATCCTTTAGATGAGACTCCTGAACGGTATGTTGACGTCCTTCATTTGCTTTTCGTAGTCTTCGTCAAAGATCTTTGTTTGCTCAGGGCTGAAATGGTTCTTCCAATCACCAACCTCACCTGTACATTAAAAACATCAAAGATCACGATGTGGTCAGCAAGTAACTACAAATAATTTGGGTTATAAAAAGCACAGAAATGCCTGAGATGAACTCTAGGGGGCGACATAGAGCCACACTATGTGGTGGATTAGGGGGTAATTCGGTTTATTATCCGCTCATAATGTTACTGCTTGCTAGCAAAAGGAGAATGTTTTTGCTTGCATGTGTGTGTCTGTTAACATCCCAGAATGCTCTCTGTGGCATTCCCCATTATCCCAATCACCGGACTCACACACCTTTCCTCATGAAGGGAGAGATGGACTGGTCAAACACAGGCGACGGGATGCAGGAGTAGTTGGCCATGGGGTTGTCCTTCATGTTCTTAAAAGATGTGAGTTCCACAATTTGGCTGATGACCTCATCTGAGAGTGACAAGTCCAGATACCTCATGATGCGCTCCACCTCACGACGAGGATTCTGGGGGAATAAGGAAGACAATGGTCCAACAACAACAACAACAAAAAAAGAAGACTCCAGCACAGAGTAGAGGTTTCACATCAATATATTGTCATATAAAATGTATTTGTGCATCAGAAAGAAGTTATGCACAAAAACCGTTATTTAAAAATGACTTAAAAACTGTTTTGATTTTCAGGCATGTATTTGAGAAAAAACAACAGCTTTTTGAAATATTTTTATTTAACTTCATTGAAAATCAAATCCACTTAAATTAAGAGGAAATGTCCATTTATTTTATAAATGCGACTTTAAAAGTCATAATGTAAAATTTGTACATCTTAATTATGATTCTGAGGCACATTAACATGTTTCCCCTTCCACATGTTGTAAGTGGGCTACTACATTGTGACTAAATTAATCCAGATGTTATTTTACCTCTTTCATGTCCTCGTAGAAGAGGTAAAGGATATTCTTCTTCTCTCTCTCCATCCAATAACCCTTTACATGATCATACCAGGAGCCCCAAGACACTGGAGACAGAGACAAGCTTTAAAATATGCATTTCATTGAGTCTTTAAAGTAACTTTTATTAACGTTGACATTAAAAGTGCTACTATTAGTTCATCTGTTTAGTTTTTGTGTTTCTGCTCTTCTCAATCGATCGTGGGTGATGGCTGCTCATGCTGAGCCAAGTTCTGCTGGAGGTTTCTTCCTGTTAAAGGGGAGTTTTCCTCTCCACTGTCGCTACACACTTGCTTAGTATGGAGATTTCTGTAAAGACTCTGACACAACAAGACAATGACTCAATGCAATCTGCTGGGCTTTCTATAGGAAACTTTTATGAACTGAACTCAGTGCACTGATTGGTAGTGTAACGTCCAGCTATGGTCAGTTTTAGGTACAGTTTGACCTTTCAACATCTATTCAACATCTGGTCAAACAGGAGACACAAGACTGCATGTGTTCCCTTTAAATGAGCCTGTCTTCATACCAGCTGGAGCTCAGAGACTCTGCTGGTATGACAACAATAACTTTCTTTCCCCAAAGCCTCCACATAAGGAACACTCCAGCTCGAATCAGTTGCTAAACCAAGAAATTTCCTAAATCAATATGAACGATTCCATGACTTATAATATAGATAATCATTAAATAAACGTTTGTTTATTGCTACTTATAATTATATTATAATGAAATGCTTCATTAATCTGTGCTCAGTGATGGAAGTGAAATGAATGTTATGTCTACAATGATTGCAATGTGGTTCTGCAGGTTTATATGGTGAGGTCATAACATCTGCACTCACACAATAACAAGTACGGTCAAGTTAAACTCCAACACATAAATAGTCTTTTACCCAGTCAGAACATCCAGTATCAAGGAAGGGTGTTTCTGAGTTGTCTTGGTAACATCTCTCAAACCTGTCAGCCTTTGATTGGCTGTGCAAATCATAACATCAAAACCTTAAAACTGGGTCACCCTGGGTGACCTAGAGAAAGTTTCAGACCGGCCATCTGAAGCAAAACCTCTTTAACCATCAATGATTTTGACACGTCATCAAAACCTTTTTGCACCTGCGAAGCTGATGAACAACAGCTCCTGCAGAACAAAGCTAATATTGTTAGACTCTTAAAGAGTCCAAGACGCGCGGTTCCATCCAGCTGTTGTGACCTGACACATCTCCGGACTGAAAAGTCTGTACCACGGTATTCTACAGCCCTCCGGTGCCAGAGGTCAGCCGACCCCTGTGACCTTCGGATCCACCACGAGGGTCTCCAAAACGGGTAAAGTAGACATGACAGATTGCGTCTGATGTGTCGTTGATAAGAATTTTATGGTTTATGCAAACCAATTTTTTTTTACATCCAGAACTCAGCTTTCCTAGATAAGGAAGTTCTGACTAACACCACATTCACACATACAGTGAGGAGCATAAGTATTTGAACACCATGTGATTTTGCATGTTCTCCCACTTAAAAATCATGGACGGGTCTGAAATTCACATTGCAGGTGCATTCCAACTGTGAGAGACAGAATGTAAAACGAAAAATCAGGAAATCACATTGTATGATTTGTAAAGAATTTATTTGTTTTGCACTGCTGGACATAAGTATTCGAACACCTGCCAATCCGCAAGAATTCTGGCTCTCAAAGACCTGTTACTCTGCCTTTAAGAAGTCCACCTCTACTCCACTTAGTAATCTTAATTAGTAGCACCTGTCTGAGCTCTTTAGACACCTATCCACCCCACAGTCAGTCAGACTCCAACTACTACCATGGGCAAGTCCAAGGAGCTGTCAAAAGAAACCAGAGACAAAATCATGGACCTCCACAAGACTGGAAAGGGCTATGAGGAAATTGCCAAGCAGCTTAGTGAAAATAGATCAACTGTTGGAGCAACTGTCAGAAAATGGAAGAGGCTAAAGACGACTGTCAGTCTCCCTCGGACTGGGAATCCATGCAAGATCTCATCTCGTATCTCATCACTAATGATAAGAAAGGTGAGGAATCAGCACAGGACTACACGGGAGGAGCTGGTCAATGACTTGAAGAGATCTGGGACCACAGTTTCAAAGGTCACTGTTGGTAGAACACTATGCCGTCATGGTTTCAAATGGGGCACGAAAGGTTCCCCTGCTCAAGTCATCACATGTCCAGGCCCGTTTGCAGTTTGCCAATGATCTGTAGGAGCTAAAAGCAGTGTTTTGTGTACTGCATGTTGACATGTTGCTTATCAATGCCAGCCGGTTATCAGGCAGCCCAGCTGCTGAGTACATGCTCCAAAAAACATGTTGATCTGCCCAGCTTATGTAAGTTTCAACTACTTTTGACCATATTAGGATGTGGAAGTAGCACCCCATCATTTCTCAGAATCAAAAGGGAGGTGGGGGTTGAATAGTATAACTGATGCTGCGTGGTGTAGGAGAGGGGGCTTTTGCAGAAGGATCTCCAGCCGAGGTGTTTAGATCGAAGCTGGACGCTGTCCCCTGTGAAGTGTTGGTGATGTATGGATGAGTTGTGTAAATAAATGCCCCCCGCTGAGTTTGGACAAAACCTGTCTCTTTCTTGTTTTTGATAAGGAAAAAGAACCACATTTGGCGACCACGAAGGTGGAGAAGAGGTGTGCTCTTCGGATCGTTTCGCAGCCCACGGAATTTAAACTTCTGGGCCCTAGGTAAGAACAGTTTTTGTTCAATTTTGGAGTTATTCCGTGGACTGAGAACTGGTCTGAGAGAAAAAACATGCCCTTCTCATAAATTAGAAGTTATAATAACAAGAAGAGGCGCTTGTCCAGAGCAGCGGTGAAATTATTCACACATGTGTGAAGTCAGCTGAGTCATTTTGATGACGGACAAAGTTTGTGACAAATTAAAAGCTGGGACAGCGAGAATTGGAATAGAATTTGACAGCTGATTAAAGTCCAGTGAGGACAAGTGAACGAAGTCGACAATTGAGATCCAGTAGGGTGCCTCGGTGAAGCCGGGCAACGACTGGGATCTGAGAAAAAGCGCTGAAGTTGTGACAGATAAGCTTGCCAGTAATTCGGTTGAATCCTCGGGGATTGGTAAATTTCATGAGTTTTTGGCAAAGATATGTTTGACGTCAGAGTTTGCAGCAAAGTGGCTGTAAACAACTCTAGAGCTCAGAAATTGTTTGTTTGTGTGAGTGTGTTTGTGAGAGAAGTTTTGTGGGTGGGACAGGCGTGTGAGATAAGCGTGTGTGTGTGGAGGAGATAAGAGTGTGTGCGAGTTGAGAAGTGGGTGCGTGAGTTGAGAAGGTGTGTCAGGCGCCAGAGAATTAGAGGAAAAAAGAAAAACAAAGGAGTAATACAGATCAATATTGTTCACTGCAGTGCCAAATTTTGATGTTTAATGTTATACAAATTTCAAGGTCTGTGATCTTGTTCTGATTAGTCTTTAAACAGAAAACCAGAAGTTAAAATAATTAGTTTTAGAGTGACATATATATAAATAAAAATATATGCTGAAGTGCACAAGCATGATAACTATTTTTACCAGCTGGGTAATGTGAAATATGAGAAATATAGATTATGATTAATAAATAAATAATAATGTTCATGCGTGTTGAGTGTGTGGCATAAAATGATGCTTCGGTGTCAAATTGCTTTGAAGTGTGTTTTTCTTATCTCTATGCAAGTGTGAAAGCTTTGCTGTGTGTGGTTGTTTTACTCGTGAAAGGTCAAATACTCTGATCTTGTTTGGGCTGTTGCTTGGATGAACTGGAGAGAAGCTGATTCTTCTTCTGCTGATTCGGTCTCTCTTGTGGTTGACTTTTTCCTGTGTTGTGATGTTATAAAGCTGTATGAGAGTTGCTAAAATCTGAAGGCTGAATGCTCTTGGGTGTCGTCAGCGTGTTCGTTTCTCCGTAGACACCCTGAGCTGTCAGACCCAAGTTTAGACTGAGCAGAGGGGCCAGTCCAGAAGCGCAAAGCTCCACCTACAAGCTGTCCTCTCCATACACACGCACAGACACAGAAGTACAGAGGCGATCCCGCCTCTGACTCCACCTCTGTGTGTGGATAGGTTGGTGAGCCAGAGGGCGTAGAGAAACCCCACCCTGTGGGCTGAGTTTTGTTCACACACAAGCTTGAGATTCAGCATAAGGCTATTTTTAGCCTGCCACTGCACAGCTGCTGAGGAAAAAAAAAAAAGAAAAAAGGGAAAATAATACATATTGAATCCAGATTTAAAAGGTTCACCTATAAAAACTTTCAGGCATTAAGTTTTTCTTTCAACAATAACTAAAGCTTTTTGAACTAACTTTACTTTAGTGTTACATCAGAAGAGATTTGATTTTAAGGCATTTACAATAAGAAGATAAATTGTTCAACATTTGTGTAAACAGAGCAACAACAGATTACTCAAGACCACAGCATCATATGTCACCAGTATCTGTTTCAACTTTCAATTATTGTGTTATTTTCAGGAGATTATAAATAAACAAACTAGTCAACTAATCAAAGGAATAATAGTGTCACTGAAACTTCAAAATGTCTGTCACGCCAGCAGGAATTTTGGCAGCGAAGAATCCTGCTTTAGCAAAAGAAATAAAGCACATGTCAGAGAAGTGGTCAAAACGGACGAGAAAACTATGCAATCCGTGGCCATCTGAAGGCACTTTTGACGTAGTGGCGTGCGATAATTTGGAGTTGAGAATTCAGGATCATAAAGCAGATGGATCTAAGAAAAGACAGCAGAAAAGAGAAAAAGAAATTCAGATCCTGGACTTATTCAGGAATGAAGGAAAGATTTACAGACAGAACTTTAAACATGCCATTCTTAAAATGAAAGACAAATTGGACAAACCCCAGAAGGAAGTGAAGGCCCCAGCAGAAGAGGGCCTGTATCCCCTTTTGGGAACCGTTACAATTACGGGAGATTTTGATTTGCGCGACACATTCGACAAAGGTCCTAAGGGTTTAGATGTTGACAATGCAATTTTAAAATTAACAACATCACAGCAATCAGATGAAGCACCTGGCAAAGAAAAGCATGCAAAAGGAAGTGAGGAA